ACAAATAAATAATCTCAGTTAAAACTACTCAGAAATGGCAAGGAAATGAGAGAGAAGATTGGAAAGGAGATATCCAGACAAGCTAAACTGATAGATTTCCCCTGAGAAAGAAGATGTTAGACACAGTGATAGGGGGAGAAAAGAGTGCAGATCACACAGCCATATGGCATTTTACTTTTGCCTCCATTTCTACCAACACGTCTGTCACTATGGGAGGAAGACTATATGCACAACTATTTCTCACTTTCTCCCCATCTTCATACACACTCTACTGTATCTTCCTGATCTGATCTATCTTCTTCCCTCAAAACGTTACTTTTTGTCCCATTAGTGTTTCTGCTATGTGAATTTGTCCATGTTCTCCTCTCAGACACACGGTTTTATAGTTAATAGGTTGGGTTCATGTCCCCCTACACTCATTATCTGCTACTGTTGCTGCCATTAGGACTGCACTGATGGTTAGTAGTTGCTGTCTGACCTCTGCTTCCTACACTGTACAGCTAATGGACATGTTGTGCTTTTTCTCTATATTTCCAACTCTGTCTGTCCATCATCCTTGTGCCTCTTCAGGTCTTCCGCCCACTCTCGTTGTTTTTCTGTTCTACTTCAAAAACAAACTTTTAAAATTGATGTCAGCCTATCAACACAGCATTACATTGTACATAAATTCTCCATCAACATGTGTGAAATGTTAAGAATAGCACTGAAACACAATTATTTTTCATTTTTATTCACATGTGCAACCAAACTGGTCATTCAAGAGGCCTGTCTCATGAAAACGACTGTTCAAATCTTTCTACAATGGAAACCAGTGCTGTACAGATATCTGTAAAAATATTTGCCCATTTAGAAATTTTGAACTAAATTCCTCAAAATAAACACATGATTTATTTTACATTTATTTTTTATAGTAATGATAGTCTTTTTGGGCTGCACAGTGGCGCAGTTGATATCACTGTTGCCATGCATTAACAAGGTCTAGAGTTAAATTTCCAACCCAATTAAATTTCCAGGATCTTAAAGGATGGAGTTTGTATGTTCTCCCTGTGCATGTGTGGGTTCTCTCCGAGTCATCCAACTTCCTCCCACAGTCCAAAAACATGACTATCAGCTTAATTGGTCTCTCTAAACTCTCCCTAGCTGTCCTGTCTGTCTCTGTGTTGCCCTGCGACAGACTGGCGACTTGTTCAGGGTGACCACGCCTCTTGCCCGAAAAGTTCGGTGACAATAGGTGCCAACACTCCTTATGACCCACTAGGGACAAGGGTGTACAGAAAATGGATGGATAGACATTAGTCTTTTCAAAAATTGGTAAACCTCAGGTGTGAAATTGCAGTTAGTATGTTTATTACATTAGCACATCAAACACCCAATCTGTTTTGCTTTTCAGTTCTCACATATATTGCTCATGCAAAACTGCCTTTGAAATTACTCTTATTAGTCTTAAATGGCTCATCTGGAGCATTTTTTTTAACCTAGGCGAAGTCTTGTCTCATCTGTTTATAGATGAGACAAATATGCTCCATGTTGAATTAGATTTTAAGCTGACTCAAGAAAGAAGGATCAATTTTTGTGCAGACAATTGTACATGTTTGCCTTTTGGTTCAGAAAACATGAAAGCATGGCTCCATTCTGCCTTCCATCATTGAATGTAGTGGTGGTGTGATAAACCAGCGGCCTTTATACCAGTTCTGACGGCAAATGAATGTCCTACAACATCCGAGCACAATTTTCTTTATATTATTAGTTTTTGATATTTTCTGCAATTGTTTAATGTCTTCTTCTTATTATTATTTATTTATTTATTTTTACTAAATTTAACTTTATTTTCTGTTTTATCATCTATCTTTTTCAGATTCTTTGGATGATTGTGTTATTTTCATAGCCACCAATACTAAATACAAATCCATTGATTTGTATTTTCATACATGAAACACCATAGTCAAATGATGTCCAACCCAGTAATAGAGCTATCAATGGTGGGCACCCACTAGCAGAAACATAAATTGGCACCCCTGTCTCCATTTGCTTGCTAACTGCTGCCGCCGCTAGTCTGCAGGAGCTGAGTGGGTGAGGAGTGCTATGTGGGGCAGGAGCTTGACTGGGGCCTGCAGCCGAGCTCCCAGTTGAGCTCCCGAGGTTGTCATCCTCCTTTACAGGATTCTTCAAGGATTTCAAGGATTCTCCAACTATTCATGAGTGACTCAAAGCAATACACTGTGTATGTTTTTGAGGGAATGAAATTATAACATGCTAAGCTCAAAACGTTTATTTTGCATACTTACCTGCCTTTAAGGGCTGGGATTTGAGACTTGTGCTTGTAATTATCAGAGCATCATTATGGAAAATTTTTATGAGGTTGAACTCATGAAAAACATTGATATGTCTTGATACTGCTGATGGAAAAATGAATAAATGAATGGACAAATGATCTTTTTGAAATGATATAATTTATAAATATTTATTTGTACATGGACATGCATGCAGTGTTTATTAGAGAGATTATGAGTGATGAGGACCTATTACACCTATCATCTATTTTTGTGCAATGTTTTTCATATTTCTTGTCAATGATTTAATTTCTGGAAATAAATCACAGCATCACAGAACATAGGTGTCAAGATAGTATTCAGCAAATGGTTGCATGTCACGTTCTGTGCTACTGGCTGTTTTCTTTTACCAGCTTGTCGTATTACTGAACTGAGACACAATGTCTCTGCCTTGTCTCTGATTAAGAAAAGGAGAAATGTGAATGTGAAAGAGAAATAAAGAGCAGAGTCAATTACCACCTCTTTCTCCTTCCCTTCAAAGAAATATCAAAGCTGATCCTCTACCTACCAGCGCAAATCCTCCTTCTACTCAATCCCCTTCCCTCTGTCTCCATCAGAGCTGGTCTGGTAATTTGCTGTTACTATCCTCTCTTTTGGAAATCTATTAATCAGGAAACTATCCGCAAACCAAATGGCAATGTTTGGGTTTATCTAATTACCTTTTGAAAGGCTTTTGAAAGTTTACTGGGAAAATGTTGAACATTTTAAGATAAATATTTCTGGAGATTTTTTTTCTAGGCCATTCAAGCCATAAATCACACACATTCTTCAAACCATAAATCTTTCTCCACATAAAGCACTGTTCTTGTTTTTGTGAACACTATCATGGTAGCTCTCCCACACGCACACACGCACGCACGCACGCACACACACACACACACACACACACACACACACACACACACACACACACACACACACACACACACACCCCACACACACACACACACACACACACTGCTATGCAATCTCCAGGAAGTCAGATAGCAGGTTGCAGAGAATTAGACCGTGCACACAAAGGAGGAGTCATTTTTGAGAGAACAGTTTGAAAGCACGAGAAGATGTTGCCTTGGTTTCAGCTTTTCAGTCACAAAGACTCATTTCTATCAAGTTGTGTTTTGCAGGGACCCAGGACTTAATGTCCTAATCATAACGTGGACATTTTAATGCACACTGACCACTTTTGATGTCATAGTGTGGATTTAATTTGCACTTCCATTCCTAGAATAATTGTTTCTGCAGACATCAATCTAATGTAAAAGACATGAAGAGCTAATGCTGGTCCAAAGGCACTTCCTCAGATGTTTTATTGGAGCTCCCTATGGGACATAATGTCCCATAGGAACATTTATGTTTAGCCACAAACTGCAGCATGACACATTAGAAAAGTATTTGCCCCTTACTGATTTCTTTACTATTACTCTTTTGTCTCTTTTGTCTGAAGATTCAGTGTTTCAGATCATCAAACAAATATTCATCAAAATCAAAGATGGCCTGAATAAACAAAGTAAAAGTTTTTAAATTACAATGCATCTTATTCCAGGGAAATATTATCCAAACCAACTTGGCCCTTTATAAAAATCGATTGCCCTCTAATCCTCATAACAGACTTCAACTGGTGGTAATAATTTGTAATTCACTTTTGTATGTCGCTCACAGTGATCCAGACTTTGTGATTCAGTCAAAGTCTGTGTCTTGACTGGATCACATAATCATTCAAGGTAAAATTGCTAATGTGAATCATTGTCTTGATTCATATAATGATCTTAAGTTCATAGACTTAAGATCACTTAATATCACTTCCAATGTAATACACGTACTTAAGCAATATAAAACTTTTCAGCACACAACACACAGAGCTTTGCTCATTTTGATGTGTTTGCATAAGCTGGGTCACCCTTCAGTCTCACACCGCTCTGTACAGACATCCATTTCATTCAAAATGAAAACTGCTTGTCTTCTACATTTGAGCAGTGAAGTTCACAACTGTTTTGGTGTACTACATAGGAAACAAGAGTGCCATATATGATATATTGAGAGTGATAATCAATGCTTATTGTTAGTAATTCATTAATTGATTCTCATAAAGTATTTAATTATTAAAACCTTGTAGGTCTATAGACATGCACTGAATGCATCTAGACAAAGTGTATTAACAGTTTTGACCTTTTTAAAAACGGTCGAAGAGACGGTTGAAAGCCTGCTCCGAGCAGCATATTAGTGTTATTGTCCATTAAAGCAATTACACATTATCTTTTGGGCCATTTAATGGCAACATTAATCTTTTTGGACTTTTTAAGCTATTCCTATTCAGAAGAAATTGAACTCATCATCAGAAATAATAAAATCTAATTCATTTTGCTTCCAAAGCAGTTATGTTTTCACTGTTATTATCATCAACCCAATAGCTGATGATTAGAATAATTTAATAAAAGATAATTTAGGTAAAATGTGAATCCTAAATGTATGATTTAATATATCTAAGCTTGTACTAAGGACAAATCGCTGATTGAAGAAAAGAACAATGCTGTACACACACTACAGTTGTTCAAGTCAAACAATGTAGCTGGAATCTATGTTTGAGATTGTGCTGCTATGGTTTCCAGAATGATTTATGGGCTCAACATTCACATTTTTTTTGTTGTTGTTTTTTTTGTGGTCTTGTTGCAGATTCTGGGTCAGAGCTTGTAGCTCCAGATATTGTAATTGGACCTAAAAACACAACAGTTGTTTTGGGAAAGGAGGCTACGCTGGAATGCATTGCCAATGCCAGGTAAATTTATTTTGCGTTCATTCATACTTGTGCTCAAAAGAGTGAATAAGTAGAATTTTACCAGGGAATTCTGTTCACCTCCATTACAATTAAAGGTCTCTATATAATCTTGTAGTTCAGTGAATCAATACAAACACAATGCTGAAAAACTCTTTTCAGAGCACATCACAATGTCTTAAATGTATGTGTCGTCAAGCTCTAATTGTAAATCTAAATGTAAAGGCTTTCACTCTGTAAAATTACTTTTTTATTTCCAGAAAAGGAATCAGATTCCTTTTCCATTCCAGAAAAGGAATCAGGTCCATGGACCTGATAGCTCACAGAAGTCCAATCTGACATCACTCTATAAACTGCAACTGATCTGTGCCAAATATTTATTTTCCATCTACATATTTATAAGCTGAATTTATGAGTCATATGATTCCATCAGTCTGTCAGAGCAGAGCTGTTTTTGGATATACTTTCATAATGTTGTGATTGTCAATAGGTTTTGAATCATCCATTTAGAAGCTCAAAAAGCTATGATATCATTGACTGGGCTTTATCAGAATGTTTAAAGAGTAAGCAGTGGCTATTTAGTGACTGTAAGCTTTTGAATCAGAGGCAAATAATAGAAAATAATAAAAAGTAAACCAATGATATTCCTCAGTATTATGCCACTTAATAAAATGTTATTCTAACTCTAACTGACCTCAAACAAGTAGCCTTTCATATGAATTAATGTGAAAAAGTGAGGGGAATAGTTTACACTATAAATTTTAAAATATTTATAGTGCAAATATGACTTTTCAACTGCATGTATGACTATTATGTCTTGTGTCTGGGACTTCAGCTAAATACCTCATAATAATTTAAAATCAGAGACTTCAGACTTGCCTCTCGTTCTTGAACTTGAAAGTCATGAGCAGATAGTCTGAAGCTCTTACAGGAATCTTCAGACAATAGACAATAGTAAGTCTGTTGAGTCTGTGGAGTGGTCATATTTATCACATAATATGTAACTCAAACAGAACTATTAATTGAATATTTGTTCAAAAGGGACCATTCTCTGTCATTCATTGATAAACACTTTACTCTGTAGCTTGTGATGTAGGTCTTACATTACGACATGTTCTGTTTAACAACCAGTACTTGAAAACTTGAAATAAGTATTTAAAAGATGTTCTGTTAATAATTTTTTTAAGATGATAAACACATCCAAACCTTTCATAGCCCTTCTTTCCTTCATTTTTTTCTTCTTTCCTTCCTTTTTTGTTTCTTCTTTCTCTCCCTCCCTCCCACATTGGCTGCTGCTGGAAACTCTGCCTATGTAGATTATGAATAGAATCAGTATTCTGTTCAGGATATAACAGGTGTTACAAATGTTAATTATTCAGTCATTTTTCTTTGGATATATAAATAATATATTTTTTAGGGGATACAAATTACACTTTATTCATTGTTGAAATAATTTGCATTGCATTGTATGTATTAATTGGATTTATCTTGTAACTAGGTTTCTGTATATTGCAGACTTCTGCCCAGGTCCCTCTTGAAAATGAGATTTAGATCTCAGCAGGGTTTACCTGGTTAAATAAAGAAAATAATAATAAAAACAATTACATCAGTTGAGAACATTGATGTGTGCTGAATTGCTTTGAAGAATTGAACTAAATCATTGACTCACAAAATAGCGCAAAAATAATCCTTGGCAGCTTTTTTTTATATATATATAAAAAGTGATAATATATAAAAAGATTTTTTTATATATATAAAAAGTGATCATGTACGAATTATGTAGTGCTACAACCTTTATAGAACTGTTTTTTTTTTTTTTTTTTTTAACACAGGATACTTTGTTCAGCAAAACGTTCCAGTAGTTTACCATTTGCACTTGACCAGCAACGTGACAGTTTTTAAGTTGTGGAATAACAAATTATCAAACATTCTAGAGTGGAGGAATTTAGCTGCAGTGGGGGTTAAAAGCAGCAGACGCCATGTCAAACACACAAACTTCTGGAATTTTTAATTCCAGAAGTTGCTTTAAACTAAATGTTACAAAATAATTTCGAATACCACTTCAAATTCACTCTTGAAAGCCAGATCAAACATTTTTAATTCAACACACAATAATTTAGTCTTCTGTGCTCCTCGTGTACATGCAAACTAGCTCTTCTCACACTTCCCTGTTCTTTTTCCAGAGAACCTGTATTTTTCACAATAACTGTTTCTGCTGTCAAAAAAGCGTTCAGTGAAAAGCTTAGCTGATACTGACACTTTTATCAGTGTTATTCTTCTATACCAAGAAAGGAAGAGAAACTTGGAAAAGTTTGGCCAAACTGAAAGAACGATCATTGAAATCAAGCGCTTTGCAAAGTCTATAATCATCTGCTTTCTACAGTCAATAATTACTGGGTGCTGTAAATGCACCACTGCAACCTGCTTGAAGGCTGAAATTATTATAAGCCTGGTGGAAAACAAGTAGAGGATAATCTTCAATGCACTTCACTCAAAATGTGATGTCCCTTATTCATATCTGGCAGAGCATTTTTAGCCTTTCTGCAGCAGTTACTACAGACATGTGGTCAGCTCTACAAAAAGAGTGAACTGTGTTCTCTGTAAACATGAACATGAGCCTTTTTATAGGTTGGATGTATTTTTGGAATACCTGTCTTGTTGGAACACAGAATTGTTTACTAGTTTAATTCCAGGCTGACTAAGCTTTTGAGCCTTGTAATATTCGGCTTGATTACAGCGGAACCCACAAAAACACACATGGGAGATCTTGTCTCAGGAAAATAGGTAATAAGTGTTACAAGGTTAATTTAATAAAAAAAAAAAAAACATAAATATTCAACCACTCAATACGAAATTTATAGGTTTTTACCAACAATGATTTATTCAGAAAACCCGAAATTTTAATGCTTAATAATAGTTATCCCGATACCTAAATAATCATAGGTCTGATTCTCCTTGCTTGGGTTGAGTCATCAACCAAACTTAAATAATTGAATGTCCCAATAGTCCTGTTCCTTTTTTGTGAGAATTTTGTCCATAAAAGAGTCCCATCTCCATCCCCGTCCCCCCAGTGGCTTCCTCCATGCACTGGCGTCGTCCTTTTGCACCGGGCGACGTTTCCTAGGTGCAAACTTTGGTCCAGTCTCTCGGGCGCGATCTGCGGGGCTGGGGCGAACCTTAGTCATTGTTTTATCTTTTCCGTTAGTTTTTTTTCCTTGGTTTAAACAATCAATAAAGCTAAAACTCCCGCTGCACAGACCTGAATTTGAGCGTCTTACTTGCTGATTGCGCCGCGCCTCGCCATCGCACACGCCCCCTTTTTATTACAAATTTTTCACACATCTGGCCCAAACATGATTACCCAAAATGAGTTTTTAACAGTGGAAATTCAAAATATTTTTAATAATGAAATACCCACAACTGCTTTACATGACAGTTTGCTATTTTTAAAATTTAATATAGTTATTGGAAAAACAAACATACTGGTTATGTTACAGCCTGTAGGGTTTGTCTTAAACTATCATGAGTTTGCTGGCATCTGATGAATCCTGTTTCACTCTCATAATATGTCAAACAATGCTCCATTTTCATTATAGAGGTCAAAAATTTGTAATTGACGTTCAAAGTCAAGATTGAGCAAAATGGCTGTTCTCTGTTTGTTCTTACTTTATGAAGGGCAGAAATTAAAGCGTTTTGTACCACTCATTTGAAAACCTGCCTACTACTACTTGGACACTCATCAGTTTTCAAATTTCCAATGTCTATATCCAATTATTTTTAAGTGATTCTGGCTTATAGCATTTATATTGACTGACACAGAGGAACTCTGAGTTAAAAGACAGACAACCATGGCACTGTGCAGCTCTGGGTATTTACTTATTAGTCGTAATGCATGTATATAACTGACTCTTTATTTATCATTTTGATGTAGGAATTCCAGAAGTTGCTTTAAACTAAATTTTACAAAATAATTTCAAATACCACTTCAAATGCACTCTTGAAAGCCTAAATCTAATTACATTCATGCAGATGATGTGTATAAAAACTTCAGACCAGATTTGTACATCTGAAAGAATAATAAGTAGAATCTTATAGCATGCTCTTTCAACAAAAAACAAACATATTTAAATTCGAATAACTCATTTTACAAATGTTAAAGCAATTTAGTATTCATAAGGTAATTAAATATATTTTCTCTGATTGTTTTGTGTCATAGACTCTATTTAGTTTTGCAAACATCTCATAATTAAATATCGTAATAACATTGCACTTTGGTTGAATACAGTTTTAATAATCTTTAAATGCTTTAATACATTTATTGCAGCTTTCACTTTCATGATTTCATTCAATTATATGAAATCTTTTTAGGATATGTCTGTTTGTAAACACATCCTGATTACTGACCAACGGTCTTCAACAAAATGTCCTTTTAGGTCCACTACTGATCAGCTCCACACGCATTAAGTCATCTGTCAACCTTAAAGAGTTTACAATTGATTTGTTCTTAGAAAACGTGAAGGATTAAGTCACAGCAGCTGAAAAGAGATTTTAAAAACTATTTTACAGATATGCTTTTATGAGCAGATACTGTGATGCATTACTGCTGACTTACACAAATACAATGGTATTTTGATGTTTATCCACAAAATTCCATTTTCCATGAAAAGCCATTTCCTTTCTGAACATTTAAAAAAACTGACAAATGTTCCTTCATCCTGAGCAGAAGGATGATATCAGAGATTTTCTGCCTCATTGACAAATAAACTGATGGACTTAATATGCCGTAATTGCTTTCAGTCAACCCATTTCTTTTTTTTTTCCTCCCAATTCTCTTGATTTTTGTTTCTCTTTTTTATTCTGCACTGTTTCTCCCCTTCCCAGACCGGTTGATGGCCTTGCAGTGTTATGGAAACATAACGGACGTCGGCTGGGTAGTGGGCGTCGGCTTATTGTTCCTGTTGCCACCTCCTCGGATTCAGGGTTGTATGTTTGTGAAGTGTTGGTTAGCAACAGCACTATCAAACCCGTGGAGGCAAGGGCATTCCTGACAGTAATGGGTAAGAAAAACACCCGTCATACAAACTTAGATGTTTGAAACTTTGCCACTTGTATCCTAGTGAGAGTTCACATCTGAATCCTTATTTAAGTCTACATGTAATGTGAAAAGAAAGCATATCTGACTAACACTTACTCAGAAGAGTTTGACTGTGTAAACATATTTACTTCCACAAGCCCATTTCGGGCCTGGAAACCTTTATCATGTCATTAATTTAGTTTTGTGTATATACTTTAAGCTCACAGCTTTGTTTTAGTCTGTTTACTTCTTCACTTCAAAGTGTAACTGAGGGCTCAAGCTATGGCCTGTCAGTTGCAGGATTGTTCAAGCTATTTGTCTCCATCCACCAGTAAAACATTTGCTGTGGACACAAACTGCTGCCACAGTCACCAAACCCCCTCATGAACATTGAAAAATTTTATCATACTACAACCTGAAATTAGATTTTATTTTATTTGGAATTTATACAACACAAAGTAGAGTATAAATGTGAAGCAGAAAGAAAAAGATATGTGCATTTTTACAAAAGTGCAGCAAATTAAGGTATTCATGTCCACATTACACAAATTCCCCTAAATAAAACCCAGTGCTTTCAGAAATCCCCTAGTCCACATTTCAGAAATCCCCTAGTCCACATTTCAGTTACTTAATGTCAATATAAATGCAGATGTTCTGTGAAGACTTTGAATGCTTGAGAGAACAAACAGCATCAAGGAGCAAAGCTGACAATGGACACGTTTAAATCAGGGTCAGGTGATAAAATAGCATGGCAGACTTTGACTATCCACTGATCACTTGTCCATCTATCTTCATGAAATGGAAGTTATGTCAACTATAAACCGAGACATGGTCACCCTTCTACATGAACTGTTTGGACAATTTGCCTCAGTACTGTTTTTTTAAATTTTTTATATGTATGCTGAGCATGCATGCATGCAGCAACAGTGGAGAGGGAAAAACTCACATTCAACAGGAATACATTTTTAGCACAACCTGAACTTGACTCAGTATAAGCGGCTAATAGCTGCAAACAAATAAGAAAAAAATAATAAGAAAAAATGAATAGCAGGAGAGAGAACAAATATTTGCTGGTAGAGTTTTTGTTTCAATTAGTTCTCATGTCTGGTCTCATCTCTAAGTTATCCTGATCTTCCCTGTCTTCTGTTCTAACCACGATTATTATGATCCATATGCTTCAGTCCTTTTAGGTTCTCATATTCATGTTTTGATTTTCTTTTCATTTGTGAGAAGGTTTTGTTAACCTTCAGATGTCAGTTTTATTTCTTTTTTGTATGTATCAGTTTACTTCCTCAGCTCAATCTTCTTCCTATAAGTCAGCACATGTTTTTCACCTGTGTTCCTTGATCAGTTATTCTCCTCATCTGGCTCACGTAGAATTTAAGTCCCAGTCATGCTTTTGTCTGGTGTGGGATTCTTGTGGGTCTTACGCCTGCAGTTTGCTGATCACTCATGTCAAGTTAAGTCTTTAAGTTAAATAAATCTTCATGATATCACAATGCTGTTTGCATTTTGGCTCTCCCTTGTCTTCGCCTTCACCAATTCTTACACAGACCAGCTGTATCTTCTATGGAGAACAAAAAAAGGTCATAGAAAACATTAAGTTAACAGTTGAAACAGCAACAAATAATGCAAATTGGAGAGTAGAATTGAAAAAGGGCAGAAGATGTTGAGGAAAAGTGGTCAGTTTGATATTCTGTCTGCTGAAGGAGTCGTCCTTACTAATAACTCTGCCTGTGAATTATTTTTAAAGTGACAGTTTTTACAGTAATATTTACATTATTGACATATTAACTAGATTACTCCAAGCCTAAGGACTGGGGGATTTTCTTACATTTATTTTTACCTTATTTTTCTTTACCTCTCAAGTTAAACCAGGGCAAAATCAATCAATCAATCAATCAAATTTTATTTGTATAGCACATTTCAGCTACAAGGCATTTCAAAGTGCTTTACATCATAAACACAAAACACAAAGGCATGCAACATAGAATAAAATACCAAGGTTTTTTTTTTTTTTTTTCTCCTTCTTTCTCTTCCCCTTCCCTTTCCTTTCCCTCTTCTTTTCCTTTCTTCCCCCTTCCCTTTGACACGGAATTTAAGCGCCTGTTACCGCCGGACTCCGCCGTCCGTTTAACCACGGGTATTCGCTGGGCCCCGTTGCCCACAACAGGAAAAAAAAAAAATAAAAATAAAAAAATACATACATATCCACAAAATCAAATCCATACGTATTACATTTCAAATGCAACTCTAAATAGGTGCGTTTTTACTTGAGATTTGAAGGAAGTCAGGGTTTCCGCTGTTTTACAGTTTTCTGGAAGTTTGTTCCAAATTTTTGGTCCATAGATGCTGAAAGCTGTTTCTCCTCTTTTGGTTCTGGTTCTGGGGATGCAGAGCAGACCAGAACCAGAAGACCTGAGAGGTCTGGAAGGTTGATACAACAACAGCAGATCTTTGATGTATTGTGGTGCTAAACCGTTCAGTGATTTGTAAACTAACAACAGTATTTTAAAATCTATTCTTTGAGCTACAGGGAGCCAGTGGAGGGACTTTAAAACTGGTGTTATGTGCTCTATTTTCCTGGTTCTAGTGAGAACGCGAGCAGCAGCATTCTGGATCAGTTGCAGTTGTTTGATTGATTTGTTGGACAGGCCTGTGAAGATGCTGTTGCAATAATCAATGCGACTAAAGACAAACGCATGAATGAGTTTCTCTAGATCTGGTTGAGACATTAGTCCTCTAATCCTGGAGATGTTCTTCAGGTGATAGAAGGCCGATTTTGTTACTGTCTTTATGTGGCTCTGGAGGTTCAAGTCCGAGTCCATCACTACTCCCAGGTTTCGGGCCTGATCGCTAGGTTTTAGTTGTAATAACTGAAGCTGTGCATTGACTCTAGATCGTTCCTCTTTAGGTCCAAAAATAATGACTTCAGTTTTATTTTTGTTCAGTTGGAGAAAGTTTTGGCACATCCACACATTTATCTGCTCTAAGCATTTATTCAGTGATTGGATGGGTTCAGAGTCACCTGGTGACGGCTGGCCACAGGGACATGAGCAATATTTTACAACGACTTCAGTCTATATAAATGAAGATCAAACTGCTGGAGGTGAACTTTGAGATCAACACCACTTGTGGAAATGAGACAACCCTTCCTCAAATCAACGAAGAGGTTGTGCGCCCTGCACCGAGCAGCTCACCCTGGAACGCTCTGGGTGCCAAGCCGAAACGGGAGTCCCACACTGTGGATCCGATGAGATGACTAACAGAGAGAAAACTCGCACCTGGACGAATCAGCGTGGCCGGCTCTGAGCTGAAACCTACCTTTAACTTCAACACCTCCTCCACCAAAGAAAGACAAACAAGCAGCTGCAACCAAAACGCCTCCACCGACCCCGCTCCCAACAAGCAACCAGCATTAGCCTCAATCTGACAATCCACAGAACCAGTGAGCCCTGACACTTCAGCCTGAGCCTCTGAGTGAAACTTTGCCTTCAAACATCAACAGTGAGGCAAGACCAACACATCCATCCCCCAAAGCTCCAAAGGACAAAGCAACCACCAGGAATACAAAAGGTTCCATCACCTCAATGGGGAGATGAAAAACACTCCAGGATGGAGAGCAGGCCGAGTAAAACCTGCTCTACCAGCTCAGTGACCTTCATCAATAACCTCTGGATCTATTGGCAGCGCTTTCACCTTTTTGGAAGAGGAGGACGCAATCTTAATAAACATGGGATAAAGCTACTCACTGCAAACCTTTTTTATTTTATCAACAAGGACAGCAACAGGATCATTGCGTCAGAAGAACAGGCTCAAGAGTGTCTGACTCGGATGGAACGCTCCCCATTTCAACAGCATGATATTCCAAAGTAAGCTGATAAATCGACTGGAGATGGAGTGACTGCTTCCCTCTCTCCTACCCCCCTCCCTCTCTGCTCCTCCAATCATTCACAGGATTCAATAGATACCAATGAAGAAATCTCTTCCGGAACAGAGTTTCTTAAATTTACAGATGGAATGAATCAACAGGTTTGCCTCGGCACGTCTCTCCTTAGCGTTCAGATAGCAGACCTCACTACATTTAAAGTCACCTGCCCCTGACTTTGCAGAGGATCCATCACTCTGCGTTTCTGAGGTCTGAGGCCGGGGACCAGATATTATCTTTACACCTGTCTTCCTCCAGAATTTATCTGGCCCCCGGGTTCTGCAGAACAGGATATTACCAGACGGATCACTACAAGAAAATTGACAAAAAACAGAAATATGAAATACAGCGGTCCTAATTCGAACCTCAGGAACGTCAGACTGAAAATCTTTTTGCTTCCAAGCCACATAAATTAGCTCTTTTAAATACCAGATCACTCTGTGATAAAGCTCTATTAATTAATTATTTTATCACTGACTATAATGTTGATGTTATGTTTCTGACAGAAACATGGTTGAATAACAATAATGACCAAATTGTACTAATTGAATCAGCGCCTCCAAACTACAAATTTCAAAATGAGAATAGAAAACTTAAAAAAGGAGGAGGCGTGGCTTCTATATTTAAGATTATTGCAACAGCATCTTCACAGGCCTGTCCAACAACTCAATCCTCCAGCTGCAGCTGATCCAGAAGCTGCTGCTCCTGTTCTCACTAAAACCAGGAAGATAGAGACATAACAGCAGTTTTAAAGTCCTTCCACTGGCTCCCTGTAGCTCAAAGAATAGATTTTAAAATACTGTTGTTAGTTTATAAATCACTGAATGGTTTAACACCACAATACATCAAAGATCTGCTGTTGTTGTATCAACCTTCCAGACTCTCAGGTCTTCTGGTTCTGGTCTGCTCTGCATCCCCAGAACCAGAACCAAAAGAAGAGAAGCAGCTTTCAGCATCTATGCACCAAAAATTTGGAACAAACTTCCAGAAAACTGTAAAACAGCAGAAACCCTGACTTCCTTTAAATCTCAACTAAAAACACACCTGTTTAGAATTGCATTTGAAATGTAATATGTAACAATGTATTGTTTATTCTATGTTGCATGACTTTGTGTTTTTGTGTTTATGATGTAAAGCACTTTGAAATTCCTTGTTGCTGAAATGTGCTATACAAATAAAATTTGATTGATTGATTTGTCCTCTTGCAGCATAATCCCTTAGCAGCAGGATAGCAGGACACCCATTCCCACCGCTATAGACTCTGCTGGGCAAGAAGAGTATTAATATAGGAAACAACCAATAAGCCCATGGTAATTTTTCAGAGCTGCATATCCTTAGCTCAGGTGGGACAACACCACAACTGATAGCTATGGACTTCATAAGTTAGACTTTATGGAATGATAATGAGAAAGTCTAAGTACTGTATAAGTGGTCCTTCACACCAAAACAGTTCAAAATTTCCTTTGAAAAATATTTTTAAGAAACATTTTTCAAATGTATCTTTTCACTTCCCAATTACGCTCCGCATTGTTGATCTATCACATAATATCCTATTGATATTTAACAAAGTTTATGGTTGCAATGTGATAAAACATAATGAGTATGAATACTTTGGCATTCTTACACTGACACATGTTCCTCATGCTTACACACATTCATCAAAGGGTCACCAAGAAAGTGATAAAGAAACAATATGCCTCTTTTACTCAGCTGCTAAATTAGTTTTGCTCCCTGGAGTCAGCAATTAGTAGGAGAACATGGAAAATGGCCAAATAAGAGTGTTCTCATGGAGATCCACTGATGTGCTCAACGTGTGTGGAGGAATACACAACAAGTGAGAAAGTAAGGAGTTTGTGATTGATGAGGCAAAACTTTTCTCCCCTGGTTTGTGAGTGTCTTTTTGATCTTCTGCGATTGTTGGAGCAAAGGAACATCTAAGCAGAGAGCACGAACTCCTCACACCTCCAGAAGACTGAGTCATAAAAGACCTGCCTGAATATTGATTCTCTTTCTATGTGCCTCCAAGTCAGCCCCTCCCTCACTATGTAGAACCAATTTTTGGACTCTCTTCTTGGCTCTATCTCTCTGCGTTCCCAGTGCAATAATTCTCTCCACATTATCTACCTTCATTAGGCCAGCAGCTCTTTTAAGGCCTGTCTCACAGCAAAAAAGTCTGCATGGATTCATTTGTATCAGAGGACTAGAGATTGATGAATACATTGGTACAGATCTTCCTTTTTCCTGGGACAAGCTCAGCAGACCTTGGTGCAATAAAAAAGATTCCCAAACAGAATAGTGTATGTGTCTCTGCCTCAAAGGTATTCATTATTCAATTTTATTCTTTTTCTTGCCTCAATCCACTAATAGGAATATGTATGACTTTCCATCTTCCTGTTGTGTACCCTACTGGCTGCAAACAACAGTAAATACCCATTGCTGGTCTCCTGTCTTGAAGTGTGTGCAAATGTAGAACATGTAATGAAGTTTTTGTAAAAAACAAATAAATACATAACAAAAAGTTTATTTGCAAAAGAATGAAAGTCACATTTTTATTTTAGCTTAGCATTTAGTCTTTTTTCAAATGAGCAGCCTGTTACGAGTGCTAATCTGTTTCCATAGATCTCTTAGCTAGTGTCAGCATTTAGAACAGCTCCAGTGGAGATGTTTGTAAGGAGCCATTATTATTGGCAGCAGAATAGAGCAGTTTAAGAGGGAATTGTTTCCCCAGGGAGAACTACAACATGTTTATCTGTTACTGCTTGGAAGTCAATTGAAGAAATATACAGAAATAAAAATTCTTCTTTTCAGCATCACCTGGGTTACCCAATGCCAAGAGGGGAAAAGGTTTTATTTTGCTGAAAATAATTTCTTTACATGAATTTAGTGTAAGTTAGTTAGAAAAAAAGATGCTTGCATAAAATCTTACTTTGTTCCTCTCTCCAGAGCCACCTTCACTGACTGTTCAACCCAAAAGGAAAGTCTTTGCCAAACTCGACAGAAATATAGAAATCCCCTGCAAGGCTTCAGGTACACCATTTGTGCTCTGTGTGTTTGTGTGTGAGAATGCTTCAGGTGAACTAGGTTCTATTAGGTGATGTTTCAATCAAAACTTTTTATCTCTAATCTAAATAATTTAAGAGTAGGTATTTTAAATTGTTTTGTTTCCACGAGAAACACTTTCCTGAAGTGCTAGACTATTGCTAGCTTGTTTTTACCCCATATTTCAATCTGCGTCATTGATAATTAGCCATAGATTTGAATGTTTTTTTTTTCATTTAGTTGTATTGGAACAGAAGTAAAAAAAATAAAATAACTCTTCCATCATCAACTTTGGTTTTGTTTTACATGTCTAGTGATTCAATTTTGCAGGTCCTAATAAACTATGTTATTTGCCATCAGAGCATATGGATTCAAAATCAACATACTTTTCTTGGAGCAAAAATAGCCACTGCAGCTGGTCAAGCTGCATTCCTGGATTAAAATTAATTATTCAGCTGAATATTATGTTTTTTCTCAATAAATGACTAAACTGGAGAGCTGTTGATGGAAGATGTTTCAAATTCCTTTGTTCTAAAAAGAATTTCTCATGAGTTGTTTTGCTGTTGTTGAGTTTGAGTTGAGTCTGTTTAGGTTTGCTACTAAACAGCTCATGGATCTAATGAAACATCTAATGGCAACTTTAAATCACAAGTGGCAGACATTGGATCTCCTGTTTTGGACACATTTCATGTTCTGTAAGGTTGCTCTCGGCATCATCTATAATATCTGTATTGACCATTGCTCAACTTGTAGCACAATATTTTACCTTGAAGATTTTATGGACAGTGGAACTGAGTTTATGGCAGCATGAGCATGCAGTTTGGCTAAATCCAGGCTTAGGAAATTGCACTTGTTCATGTCTCTTATCTTTAAATGGATTACATGAAAACACTTAAACAGCTGGACATGGTTTTCAAAACTGCAACCTGCTCCCTGTCTTTCACTCTTCACTCCCTCTCTTACACACACTGAGTGAGTTTATGTTTCTCTTCAGTAATCTGATACAGTGGCAGAGTAATTAAATATCAGAGGCCTGGGGATATGGAGAAAAAGATGGAGGCTAGGAGCAGGAATGAGCCAAGGAGAAAAGACAGAATGACAGAGCGAGCCAGACAAGCAGAAATATTTCATGTGTGTCTGGGAAAGCTCGACAACAACAGATTGAGAAAGTCTGAAGTCCATCTTTCTTACCCCCTAAGACACACACACACCCATACAAGCACATACACAGGTGTGAAGGTTCAGGCAGAGTAATTGCATGAGTTCACTGCTCGTCATATCTGGCATGTCGGTCAGACGAGTGGGTTCTGATACTGTAGATATTGTGCACTTATCCTCATCTTTTATTCAGAATGTTTTCAGGCCAATTCAGCCACCTCTGCTTCACCACCCACATTCCCCAATCAATATATTATTAACACTCATTATGCTCACATGCATATTTATAAAGGTGGATTGGATAAGAGAGGGGAACGATGGTGTAAGGAAAGAGCATGGCTGCTTTAGGAGGAATGGGAGCAGTTACCTCAGCAGTGAGGTCAGCTGGGGTCTTATTAGTGAAACCAAAATAATTTCTCATGAGTTGTTTTGATGTTGTTGAATTTGGTTTTGATATTTCTGTTTGTATGTAGGTGTACCACAGCCAAGGATTGAGTGGTATAAGGACACAGTGCCTCTTTCCAAACTGGCCAACGCTCGCTACAGGGTCAGCTCGGCCGCTGGGCTGACCATACGCAAGATACAGCCAGGAGACGGAGGAATATTCCAGTGCTTTGCTCGCAGCCCAGCAGGAGAGATTCAAGCTCACACAGAGCTCCTTGTTTCAAGTAAATTTGTCTGACATGGATTCATAGGATATAAACATAAGTTTCTCTTCGGCTTCATTGGCGGATTCCTCTTCTGCTTGTTATATGATCACATTCATCGTTCATCTTGGTTATTAAGTTAAACTCCATACTGACATTAATTTAATCTTTTTCTGAAAGAGTAGTTATTCTATGAGTTTATGAAGTAAGTAGTCCCATATTATAAAAATTATGTCACTATTTTATTTTAAACAGAATCAAATGTAAATAAGTAATATGTGTATCGATTGTCAGATTTCAAGAATCAGTTCTAGTTATTTGCCTGATTTCTTTAACTTTGGCTGACTGATGATCAGTGAATACTTACATGTGAAACTGATCTTATTCACCAAACGTTTCTACCAACACAAGGTTCTAAGAGAGGGTCAACAATAGTATCGTCGATTGGCAAAAAAGCTATGATCGGTTCTTTTAATAGCTGCAATCAATCTGTAGAGCAAATTATTGGTGTGACCTGTGGAACGACCAATAATACAAACAAAATATACTTAACATTAAAGAAGTAGTATTAAAGAAGTATTAAAGTATTATTCTTAGTATTAAAGTATTATTCTTAGTATTAAAGAAGTGCTTGTCTTGAATATTTTTTTAAAATTAATATGAGTTACAAAATGAGTTGCACAGACCCTCAATGCACCACAAATCGGAACAAACTTTTTGAAAACTGCAAAGCAACAAAAGCTGAGTTTTTTTAATCAAGGCTAAAAACCCAGCTGTTTAGAGCTGCTTTACAACTGTAATAAATAGAACACTGACCAACATATTTGATGTGAAATGATGATGGCACTCGTCAACATGTAATGTTTTTATTACTTTCCATATTTGGTTTTTATTCTATAAAGCACTTGACTGATGCTGTGCTGTGCGCTCTCTGCCTGCTGACAGGATTGTGCACAAGCGCAGCTAACTCAGCGAGTGCATGTGTGAGTGTCGCTGACACATAGAAGTGTATGTTTACATCCAGCTGTTGCCAACTTTTGAGTTGGGGCAATGATCTCGCGCAAGCAAACCAGGTGGTGTGGTTCAGTGCATGTACCCTTGAGCTCAGTTCAAGGTGTCAACTATACTGCCAGCTTGAGGGTAAAAGTAGCTAAATTCCAGATAACATTCATGAGGCAAGAGAAATCCTAAGAGAGGATTCAGATATCTGGATAATATAGAGATGTGGAATCAGGAGTGATAAAAGTTTGTTCCAGGCTCAACTCAGTGTTATTCTGAAGGCGACATGAGGTTGCACAATGTATCTTGAAAGTGATGGTACTAACAGCTTGCACTTTGTGTTCAATTTGCTGTTTAAAATATGATTCTTTTTGCTCACCTAAAACTATGATCAATGAAAAGGATAATTCTTATTATTTTTTCAGTGTATGATTATGCTATAAATGGATTATATTCCTTATTTATCCTGGTGAAAAATATGTGATTGAAGCCTGTTCATGAAGGCAGTCACACATATAATTAATTTATTTGACAGATAGATTCTTTGTTTGTGAAATCAATTAATCTCCATGGCATCCATTCAGCTGTGCAAAGTACTGGGGTGTGCCTAGTCGTTGAAGCGCAGCTCTTATTTGAAACTGCAGTTTCCAAACTTCCATTCAACTTCTTCAGACCAGCTAGCAGCAATTAGCAGCATCTGCTGGAACTGTGTATTTATTAAGCTCATTGTACTATTTACTTGTCAGTGCAAGGCCTTAAATAAAAAAAATAAACTTTTATAGTCTTAGTTGATATATATGTGGCATTTTTATAACTGAAGTTAGAATAGTTACTTGGTTATGCTATAACATGACTCTATGTGCCTGGAAAACACATTGAAATTTTGACCAATTTTACTTGTAAAATTTAACCAACAGTGTCAGTTTAAAACTACACCTACACTTAACCTCTTCACATTTATATTCTGTTTAGTGATATTAGATATAATTCAATGTGTCCTTGTTGCCTCTCCAGCACCCTACAGGCTACATTTATGCACATGCACGTAGCACCATGTAGTAAATAAAGCCTCCATTGATTAGCAAGGCTGCCCTGGTGTTTAGATCAACGCTGACATTCTTTCCATTTCCATTTTTTCTCTTCTGCTGCAGAGCTTTACTATTGTTTCATCCTGTAACTTTGCTTTTAATATTCATCCAATGCCATCAAGCTGCTTATACTATGTTGCTGTGTTTCAGGTGCGGCTCCCACACTTCTGTCCCCTCCTTTTGACCAGACAGTAACTGATGGTGACATGGCTTTGTTTACCTGTCAGAACAGTGGCGCTCCAAAACCTGCCGTCACCTGGAGAAAAGGTGCTGAGCCACAGCTTTCTCTCTACACACATTCCCATGATTGCAATTTAAATTGGTGTAAAGACTGACTTTTTGTCATATGTAATTTATTGTTTTCTCTCTCTGTAGGATCACAAGTCATAGCCAGTGGCTTGGCTCAGGTTCCCAGGTTCATGCTGCTGCAGTCAGGCAGTTTGCAGATTCAGCCAGTCAGCATCCAGGATTCAGGAGAATTCACCTGCATCGTGTCCAACTCTGAGGGAACCATCAACACCACGGCTGCACTCACTGTGTGGAGTAAGACACATACACACACAACCAAAAATACTAAAAATAGCTCAGGATACTGTCAGACTTGTAATATCAGTGTATCTATAGTATACCTGCCTAGTTGTGTTCAGATGGTGGAGCTTGTTGATAGCAGCTGTTCACTGATGCTGTTTTGCTGCAGGGAAAGAACTTTTTGTTTTATTTGCCAGATAAAAAGATGATTTTTTATTTTTTCAATTAGGTTTTTGTGCTTCTTTTTTTTTTTTTTTGCATAATCAATTTTATAATTTGCAGACAAACAGTATATTTATATATCTGAAGATTACTTAATTACAATTTTCTGATCTAGGCTAAAATACATTTTCATTTTTTTTAAGTAAAACCTTTATTTTTGAATTTAGGGTTTGTACATTACCTGTTATAAAACTTATTCTTTTACATGTCTGAAATAAGTTTTGAAACAAATTTAAAATATTGTATGCAATGAATCTGTTTTGTTTTTGAATGATTTGCATTTCAAATAAAAAAAAAATACAAATCAGTATTAATTCAGTTTATGTATCAGCAATTCACAGATATCTCAGGTTAGTTTACAAAATAATTCAATTCAAAACAATAATTTTTATTAAGCATGCGTATAATGACAGTCTGAGAATAAGGGTCAAAATGTCACTACCCTTAGAAAATCTGCACTGAAATAGCCTGAATTCAGAAATTATGCAATAAATTAAAAATAATTCACATTTGACAATGAAATAAAGCTTAAACAATGTTTTTTAATAGTGATTATCTATATTTGACAGTGTTGAACCACTTCGGGCCACTTTTTTCAGTAACAAGCAATCTAACGCATTGCTATTTCAAATCCAGTAATCAGACTACAGTTACTTTTCGAAATCACTTTGCGTTACTGTGTTCTTTTGTTATTTATTTGTATTTCCTCTACGCGTCTTGTCGAGTGACCGACGTTTCTATGCAACAATATCAGCGACAGTACCATAAACAATGGAGGGAGATGTGCATTTTGTTGGTAGAAAAACAGGAACTATTTTGAATTTCTGTAAGTGGCTTTGAGCTCGTTTTTTTTTTTTTTTTTTTAAGTCGCTTGCAAATTGAATGAGTTGCGTGTTGTGCCTTTTTGGGCTTGTTTTTGAACGTGAAGTTACTCATTTGGGTTTGGAAATAAGCAGAGACTCATAACAAACCCCAGAATTTGTCTGACATCGTTTTAGTCCATCATTTTCCGGATGATCTGTCCCGCTGTGTCTTGGTTAATGGGAAGTTAATATATGACCTCTAAATGACGTCAAGCTTCGCGTTGCAAACATCGAGACTAATATGAACAGCGCAATAAAATTTGAAAACAGTCACAAATGAACGAGTCCGTAAAGTTGTGCAACTAAACGCAATTATAATAATTAATATTAAGATTAATGTCACAAATCTGTGCAGCGGGACATCTGAGTAGTGGAGCCGCAGGAGAAGCTCGGTGCGCTACACTCTGACACCAAACACAGGGCCGTAACGCACTACTTGGAGGCTGGGGGGCAGAGTGGGGATTTAAAATCACTCTTAAGAGTTTTCCAGGCAATAGAAACACACAAATTACTTACGTTTTTTTTATACTGTTGTAACCATTAAACAATCTCCCCTTCAGGTCAACCATATAATTGGAAATGCATTGTTGATGTTACTATCATAAAATAGTTGGCAATTAAATATTGGCAAAGCTCAATATAATTTCACTGGTGGCGGAGCGCTGTTGTTAGCAGCTGGTGAAAGTAATTAAAAAAGTTACTTTTAATGTAACTTAGATTACTGACTACTTGACTTGGAAAATAACTAACTAAGTTATTTTCTCAAGGAGTAGTTAGTAATCTGATTAAACTTTCTTTTTCAAAGTGACTATGTTATCACGGATATTTTAATAACTCAAAACAAAAAAAAAATTTGAGTGTAACTATTCCCCAAGGGTACAAACATTTAACATTTTATCTAAGATGTTTAAATTAATATTTTATTGAAAAATATATATTAAATCACTCTTGAACAACAACGTTTTACAAAAGCAAGTCCTCTCACATTAGTATATATGTGAAAAATAAGTCATATCTCACAATATATGTCTTTGTCCATATAATCCACCACTTTGAACTTTATGTACCTGTATTAGTTTGTTTTTGAATGTTGGCACAAGGTCACTAATTCGGTTTCATATAGCTGTACTCCCACTTTCTACATTTTCACTTTTTATTTTTTAGGTCGTACAGTTATTTCTGTGCCTCCAAATGACCAGCGTGTAATCAAAGGAACCACAGCTGTTCTCACCTGTAATGCAACACATGACCCCAGAATTAATATCAGGTAGCTGCTTTTTAAAGTTATAATGAACGTGTATTAAATTTATTTGATTCTCTTCTAATGTACCTTTCCCTTTTTGCAGCTTTAAGTGGTATCGCAGCGGTGTGCCTGTGCTGCCGAGCAGCGGTGGCCGTGTTTCTGTGCAGCCAGGTTCTTTGACTATTAGCCAGACGTGGTCAGGTGACATTGGGGATTACACTTGCAGCGTGATGTCACAAGCAGGCAATGACTCCCAGTCTGCACGCCTCGAAGTCATGTAAGTTTAAGAAAGCAGTTATCCATGGTGACTCTCAAGAGACCTTTTTCTTTTAAATGCCAGTTTTTATAATCTAACAAAATAAGACCATTAAAAATCCTTTAATTCTGCCTTGAAAAAGTGCAATAATCTACTTGCTAAAGTGTGCACACCCTTAAATATTTCAGTGTTATTTTTACATAAAGTTTTTGGAAAGGCTCTGTTAACATGCCACATCTTCTGTCAGGTTGTGGGTACATTTCTTCATTGTAGTCTTGTTTTGTTGACCCCCACCTTTTGTCAGACTCAGGCTATTCTGAAACATACATTTTCTTGTAGTTAAGTCAGTTGTTGATTTGAGTGTAAGGTTGGCTCAGTGTGATGCTTAAAAATGTTTATTTTCCCTTCATCTTTTGCACAATCTGTGACTTGTAGCTCAACACTGACTGGTATTTGAATTTGTAGTCTTTAATGACATTGATAGAGATCAGGTCTACATTGTTTTCAAACATTCACAGAACTTTTATGACTGCAAACGTTCAGTTTATTGAAAATTTTCTGAATGCTCAATGCTAGCTGGGAAGTTAGCAGCTAGTTAAGTTTGTGTGCAGAAGAGGATGATGGTGATTTGGAAAAAACTTTAAAAGCTGTTTTCTCTCAAAAAGATTGATTGAAGAGTGCCAACATTAAAATGTTTTGACTTCCATGTGTTTTACATTGTTGGGAAGCTATGAATCTAGACTGTTGAGAATATAAGTTTGGTTAGCATAACTTTAGAGACAGTCAACCTTTGTGCATATGAAATATTAGATGTAGCATGAACATTTTGAGTAGATTCTAAGTTAGGTAAACTTAGATAAAGATCCAAACTAAAACAACTGCTGACTCTCTGAACTCACAAATTACTAAGGAGGGCCTTCAGACAGGCGGGGGTTGTACTCTCTTTAGCACATGGAGTCTGTCTGTTATCAGAATGAGTAAAATTCTTTGGTGTTTGTTTAAGAGTTAAGAAACGTCTTCTACAAGTATAATCAAATGTATTAAGATAGTTCCTTTAAGCATTAACAGCATGTTCTGAATTAGTTAGTCTCTAACCATACTATTTGCATGCATTTTATATTACTGAAATACAATAGGATTAGGAAACTATTTTACTTCTAAAATATTTCAGGTATTCTAAAAGAGATTTTCTAAAAGAAGATAACCCTGCAGTTTTTAGATCCAAACTCATAGTTATTATTTGGCATTAGATTTTTGTGCCAGTTTGTTTAAAATAGAAATCAATTTCTTGTTGAATTACTGAGGCAGAAAAACCACCAGGTCCAGTTGCAGGTTATAAATTCTGGTCTGGAATGTTTAAAGGGGAAACTGAAGACTCCGTTTGAGAATGACCTTTGTTCTCTCCATATATTTGCCTTTGGATTTTAGCAGGTCACAAGCAAGGTAATGAAATTAACATTAAACAGCCCTACAAGGGCAGGACACACCTTCTAATGCATTTATTTAAATTAAGGGAATACACCTCCTTATAAAAAGGTCTGTTTTACAGCAGAAAATCAAATTGCTTTGTTTGCAGCCGTGAGAGCAATTCCCAAAAATGCATTTTTGTGTCTCTCCTATTGTGTTTTTCTTTTCAACTCGTTGCAGGTAATTGTATGTTTTGTCATGTGTTGGACTTCTTGATAATCTGGGTGTAATGCTGATGTAACATTCTGTATTCATTGAATTCTCTGGATAAAGCTCTAGATATATCTGAAGTCTGATGTCGAATTGTTGTTTCTTTATTATTTCCCCTGTACATGCGGAGTCCCTGGATCTGGGAAACTAAAGGAAAATTACCAAGCCAAGTGAAGTTATTCCTCTAAGTTTTAACAACACCTTTAGCATCTGTAAATAACTCAAAGCGTCATTGAGCAGATTTGTTCCTAGTTTTGCTGTGGCCAGTCTAGGAGGTGTTGCTGATACTCATTTGCCTATATGGTCCTCCATACCTCTGTAGTATGGAGGCTCACGTCAGTCATTGACAGGGCGACTGTGGTTGTGTGGCAGAGTTGTCGTCTTGCAATCGGAAGGTTGTAGGTTCGATTCCAGCTTTCTCCTGCCATATGTTGATGTGCCTCTGGGCAAGGCACTTAACCCCAAATTGCCTACCGGTCTGCGTATCGGTGTAAGTGTGTGAATGGGTGAATGTGACTCTAGTGTAAAGCGCTTTGAGTGGTCAAAATGACTGGAAAAGCGCTATATAAGTTCAGTCCATTTACCATTTTTACCATTTACATTACCATGGCTGTTGTGAGGTGGGAGCTAAGACGCGATGCCTGTGTGGCCAGTCTTGCTTCTCTTATATGGATGCAGACAACATGTTGTGAATAAGCCGTTAGCCACGTCCCAGATATGCTGCCTTCATAATGACTGAACCACAGTGATGTTTTGTGAAACTACCTGGGGAATTTTTGCTGTGTGTCTAGAATAAAATAATTTTTGAGCCAGATAAAAACAAATCTTTGTCAGCTAAAACTCTACAACCAATCAAGGTTAGTTTATTTTTTAAAATCGCAGAATGGGAATCCTGTCTATTCACATTCATACCTTGGTTTTGTTTGAGCGAAAGCTTCAAAATGTTTCGCACTGAATCTGACGTTCCTGGCTCTCACATTAAACATGCCAGACACATTTTAAATGTATCCCACACTGCAGCCCACGCAGCCTCATTACTGCTGCTGCGAAAGAACAGGTAGTAGTAGCCTTTATATATTAATAGGTACTTTGATAACATATTTATGAAAAGGCACTTGATATATAAATGTAATTGCAGGGTAGGAGAAAGAGAGACAGACATGAGTACACATTCATCTAAATTATGGAGAGAAAAGAGGTTACACATGTCAAACACAGCGCGAGGGAGAAGATCTGTGTTTACAGCTGTGTGAAACCATGAGGGGATGAGGGGGATTCTGTTCGACTTTCTGCACCAGTGTGTGTCTGTGCGTGCGTGCGTGTTTGCGTGCAACCACGTTGTGTGACTGACATTCTCGTTAGCTCTGTATCAGTGGGTCATGGAGGCTAACAAACGCTGGCGGCTTTGGAGACAGACTAATTACCAGCAGGTTATTGGTTCAACTCCCGTAAGACCCGTCCATGCGTCTGCGTGTGAATGTACGTGTGTGTTGTTTTGTGGGACTAGTTGTTGAAGCAGTTGATCTGACATTCTCTTATTTTTTCCATTAATTAATATGATCATGTCAGCTCAGAAATGAAAAACTTTTCATTTCCTCTGACTGTCTTGTTTCATTGGATGCTGTAGGGATTGATGTGCTGGATTTACAGAATTCCTCAGTCTGGAAGAGAAGTGTTTGTGTCATCTTGCTAAAAATAATTTCTGTCCATTCACCTGTATTTCCTTTGCTCAAACCAGACATCCTTCTGTCCATTTATGCATTCAATTATCCATCTTACCAGCTTCCCAGCAAACAATTATTAACCTATTATTCTTAAGGTTTTATCTGTACGGAAACATGCTAGACGTTTATCTTTATTTGATGATGCTAATTATTTTCTACCAATATTAAGGACAAAATTATTCTTCTTGCAAACATATAATAGAATAACAACACACAGGGGAAAACAACATATGTTTAATGAATCATCACTCCACATTGTGAAAGGCTTGTTAATAAATTGCAGTAGCATATGGATAATTATAGATTGGACCTTTTGTGTTGATATGGAAGCTTTTCCAAATACAAATTTAAAGCTAATAACTTTATTTACAACATATTTGCAGAAAGAGGAGAAACTGGGACAGATGCCAGCCTGAAAGAAAAATCCCACTAGTGGATGCAAAGCTCCCTAATTAAGATTTTATAATTTGTTTACCTAATCTGTACAAGATGTGAAAAAAGCAGCATGATGAGGAGCTCCAAAGAAACATCTCTTGGTGTCTTACTTTTTTAAGTCTTAGTGCCAGCCAAGTCTGGGGTCATTGATTTCATCTAACATCTGTATAAAGTTTTCACTTTAATTTTGGACTTCATTGTATCAGTTCTATAAATTTGACATGACAAATGTTCAAAGCCAAAGAGGCATGTGAGATTATCTGCTCTTCAAAATCCATTAAGAACAGACATGTTGATAACCTTAGATTGTGAAAGGTCTCAAATTAGGCTTTTGACCTGAATTAAAACATTATAGGTTGGACAATTAGCACTGCACATTACCTTGAACATACTGTCAAAACTGTGAAATATGGTGAAATGGAGGTGGCAGAGTCATGCTTTGGGGATGCATTTTTTCACCAGGAACTAACTGAGATGCTGAGAAAATGCGACAAGTTAAATCATCTCATTTAACTCATTGAGGTGTTGAAGATAAGAGGTTGCCCTTCAACAGGGCGGTGAGCCCTAAACATACAGTCAAAGCTACAAGAAAATTTAGACTATTGCCTATTCATTTGCTAGAACAGCTCAGTCAAAGTCCATACCTAAATCCAAATAATAGTTCACAGATGCTATACCTCCAATTTGACTGTCCCGAAGTTATTTTTAAACCAATGGACAAAGGTTTCCCTGGTCACATGAGCACAGCTGGAAGAGAAACACCAGATATTTCTCACCTCAGTAAATTCAATACATTTTTATTTGTAAAAATGTTGAAAACTATCCAATCTTGTACTACTTTATGTTTTTCTATCACGTAAAATGATAGAAAAATGCAGTATAGTTTGTAAATTTAAATGTGACATTTAAATATGAAAATGTCAGAAATAGTTGGGTCTCTAAAAGATAAAAGTAGTCTTTAATGTCATTGTCAGAGAAACAACAAAATTTTAAAAAGTGCCACCAGTCAGTGCATATGCTTAACAAACAATCTCACAATTTACACACGATGTAAAAAAAACTGATATACATCATTCATGATGATTGATGGTTATTTTTTGATTGCACTTAATTTTGTTATTGCTTTTGGGTAAAAACTGTCTCTAAGACGGTTGGTTCTTGTTCTGATTGTTCTATATCATCTGCCTGAAGGCAACAGTGTAAACAGAGAGTGTCCGGGATGGGAAGTGTCCTTTATGATGTGTTGTGCTTTTTTTAGGTCGCTGTACAAATCTTCCAAAGAGGGGAGAGGGTAGCCAATAATTTTTTGGGCTGTATTCTCAACCCTTTGTAGAGCTTTCCTTTGAGCCGTAGTGCTGCTGTTATACCATATGCAAATACAGTAAGTCAGTATGCTCTCTATGAAGCACTTGTAGAAGGACACCAGCAGTTTCTCTTTGATGTTGCTCTTCCTGAGAACCCTCAGGAAGAACGGTCTTTGCTGGGCCTTTTTTGTCAGCTCAAAGGTGTTCATGTTCCATGTGAGGCCCTGCTCAATTTGGATCCCCAGAAAACGGAAGTCAGTTACCCTCTCCACACATTTCCCCCCAATGATTAGTGGTGTAATATCCGTTTTCTTCCTCCTATAATCTACATGTTAAAGGTTCTGTAGATTCTTGGATTAAAATTCGAATAAAGTAAAACTATATTTATATTTATAATTCAAAACAAATCACAAGGTGCTTCAACAAACAGAATAGAAAACAGAAAACTATAAAATAAAAAATCCATGCAGACTGAAACAGAGACATTTTTGCCAACTTTTAAAGAAGCTTCCAACTCAGTTGATCTCTGTGCCAACAGAAGACAGTTCCAGAGAGGAGAAGGCTCTCCTATAATTTTCACTTATGCAAACTGGTGTCTGCTCATGTAAAGCTCTCAAGTCAAAACTAGGATTATGAAATGCACTCAAAAATATACCGGAAGATAAAGTAGCTACATTATCAGTGGGGAGAATCTGTGTGTTTGGTGAAGATTATTCAAACTGTCATTGATTAAAACAGAATAAAACAAGTGTACTGTAAAGCTTAAACCTATTTCTGTGTTTTCAGTGAGCTACCACACTCTCCCCGCTCCCTAACGGCTCGTCTCAATGACTCAGACTCCCGCTCTGTCCACCTGTCCTGGCTGCGGCCCTTTGATGGAAACTCCCCTCTTCTCTACTACGTCTTGGAGCTCTCAGAGAACAGTAAGTATGTGTAGATATTTTAATGTGTCAATCCTTGGGTATCTTTTATGGTTCCTGAGAGGCAAACAGCTGTTTGCTAGCTGACTACCAGGAAGCGACATGCACTCAAATGTGCTCATTTACAAGAGATGTACATCTGGAGAACAGTGTTCAAGCATAAACGCACAGGGTGCTGCTGACCTCCTGTTTTCCAGCATTTCCTTATCCCTCTTGCTGTCTTTCTCTTCTGAGTCCTGGTCTCTCAACCACATATGTCTTAACAGCATGTTGGCTCTCTTTCAAATAAGGGAGGGAGGGAATCAGGGAGAAGAAAGGGGGACGAAGCAGTAAAATGACATATGAAACAGATGGGAGAGAGACGACTGCAAGCTGAAAGGGATCTGCTCAACCAGGCATTATGCACGAAACTGTAGAATTGGTACTTATGGACAGATATCAGTTGAAATCCACGTTTTGAAAACTTTCTAGGAGATACACCTGTACTGATATTATTTAACAGGTGTTACGTTGAAACAACAGTGATGAACCAAAATTATCACAACAGAGCAGGGAAATAATGCGGCAATATCTGGGGGAGATGAAGAAAAGAAGAGGGAGTTTAAATGACTGGTCGATCTCTGTGGAAAAACCCAGACTGTGAGAATGGATTGAAGTTTTTGAACACTGATTAGATTTTTTTTTTCACTGAGAGTCCACAGCAGAGAAAATACAAGGGACTTTAATATCAGACAATGACGCTAATATGCTGGGCTTGTTCACTATCCTTCCCACTTACACTGATCCCCAGGAGGCTGGTGCGATAATAGGGATAATAGTGGATCTGTCTGTTGTTTATTCAGCCAACAATAAGCTGGAAACAACATACCATGCTTCTTAACTTATCCCCATAATTCCTTTAAGGTTTCTTTTTTGTTGCATTCTCCTCCACACCTAGTCTTGTTCCAGTCCTGGATACAATGTCCCATGTCCCTGTTTGTCCTTCCTCAGCCAGATGCCATCAGTCTCTAATCTCAGCATGTTGTTGTCTAGATTCTCCATGGAAGGTCTACCTATCTGAGGTGGATCCTGCAGTGAGTGAGGTATCAGTGGGCGGACTCACACCTGCAAGAACCTACCAGTTCCGACTCTGTGCTGTCAATCAAGTGGGAAGGGGTCAATATAGTGCTGAAACACAGAGGTAAGAGTAAACATGTTAAGGAAATGCTCACTTAATACCCAATGTGTAGGAAAATTGGTGTTCTTTTTCTCAAAGTGCAATGATAAGAAATTTAAATTTCTTATTTAATGAGTACTTTCTTCTGTTTGGGAATTGCCAGGGAATTGAAATAGTTCAATAGAAAGTCATTTAAACCACCCAATACCTCCGAGCACTTTTCCTTTTCTGACATTGCATAGATTCATCTATTGGATTCAATCTTTCTCATTATAATCTTTAAATATCCATACTCACTGTTTCTATTCTTCTCTGTATTTCCATGCCACTCTCTTTCTGTTGGAGACAGAAACTGTATAGTTAGCTATGTAATTATATTAACTGCTCTGCTTGTTTGTGTGAGAATGCATACAGTGAAATTGTAATGCAAACAGATTACTTTGCAGATGTTTTATGCATGTGTGTATAATTGCATTTATAGTGCAGGTATAGACTGCTATCTGTGTGTCCCAGCAGACAAGCACTGATTTTGGTAATTATAATTCTAAGGCACTGATGGAAAGGCTTAATCGGACCAGGTATAGAGGGAGGCATTGTCTAACGTCTAAGCATGGAGCAAATCCCTGATAGTCTGTTACCATACAGCAGATGTGGTGCTGCATTATGAAACAGGCATACACAAACACTATCAAACAGAGTCTTGTCCTACTGAAGATACAGACCACAGACAGATCCCAGTTGTTATTCTGCCAAATACACTCAGGAGAAACAGTAGTTCTTAGCATTCACATACCTCATTCACATACCTCAGATTGCAATCTGCTTCTGGTTTCTCTTCTTTATGTGTTCTGCTGTTTATTCTTTAAATGTTCTGAATCATTTTCCCTAATCATGTTCCTACTCCTGTAGCAGGAGGGGGAGCATTTATTAATATTACTTCCATCCTTCCTCTTCCTCTTGTGTTCAACAGCTGCTGTGCTGTCTAGTCCTCAGTCCAATACTTGTTGTTGTAGGCCCTAGAGAACAGATTGGATGGATCTTCTGTAAATGAAAGACTGGCAGGCAGACAAGTCATCTTTGGTCAGTACCTCAGAGCAGATGGACGCGTCTTTTCTTCAGCATTCATTTAATACATAAACAGGCACGTCCTCCTTTCTATCTGCTGGATGTTTTGCTGGATAAGACGCACATACAAGCTGCCATTGATGCCAAGGCACATAGTACAAATGACACTCAGGAAGACTGAAGCGAAGCGAAATGTCCCGCAGAAGCTCTGACTGCCCCATGAGAAGGATGACAGAATGCATTAATACGGATGGAGTGAGGGAACAGGGCATGAAGCGAAGCAGAAGCTTGGAATATTAAGAACAGAAAGCCCTTATTGTCAGGTTCTGTGTTTTTCTGTGTTTAATTCTGAGTTTCTGTGTCCTGAGTTCTCCTCGTTGTCCTGTCTTCCCCTTGATTGTTCCCAGGTGTGTCTTGTTCTCCTGATTACCCTCAGTGTATTTAGTCCCTCCTGTGTCCTTTGTTTCTCGTCGGGTCCTTGTCGTTGTCAGATTGTCGTAAGTCCTCGTTCTCTTGACTTTGTTTGCCGCCTGTATGACTAGATGCTACCGGTATGAGCCCTGGCGGAAGCACTGGAGGAACACTAGGGGTGCTAGCCGTGCTGCCTAGCCGCAGACTACTTTGGCGTTGTTTTTGTGGACTATTTTCATTAAATATTTCATCATTCACCATATCTGGGTCTCCAGCGCCTGCCTCATCACCTCCAATACACCACTTCATGACAGTTATTTAAGTTTGAGCTTCCAGCTGCTTCAACATTTATCCAATTTGTTCCGATCATAATGTAGATCTTTATCATAAAAATCTCTTCTTTTTTTTAACAATCACAACATTGGCTATGTTCCAAAACTACATTTTACAGAAAGGAGTTCCCATGGATACTGTAGCAATAAGAACTCTGTGAAAATGCTGTTTCAAAGTTTTATTGTTTTCCATGCACAAATTTATGGCATGTTCTTCCACCATTATTATCTGTAGAAATAAAGCATTAGCTTCTGAAGGACAGATTATTCTTGAGCTTCAGGATTTGTAATACATAAAAGCATATAAGCATTGTTGTACCATCTAATATCCTAATATTGATATTCTAAATACATGTTATTGGGAATATACACTCACCAGAAAATGTACTAGGTACACTTTGACAGTACTAGGTTTTACCTTCAGAACTGCCTTAGTTCTTTACGGAATAAACTGAACATCAAGTTCATTGAACAACATGAAAACATTGGCTGCAGGTCTTCCATTCTGCGATGCTTCATAGGTACTGTATTGGATTTTTTTTTTTATAGACTCCACAGATTTTGTGACATCATATGGACATTTAGCTGACTAATGCAACATGAAAACTGTCTGGTTTATTTCAGAATTCTCACCAGTCCAGTTCAGTCTGCTTTAATCAAACTCCAGTTAATTTTTCAGGGAAGCCTGCTTCGTTTTTTGTCCTTTGATGAGAACAAAAAAGCTTACACTTCTGTGCCTAAAAACCAAGGTCTAGGTTCAGTTGTCAAGCAGACCGGAAACCACTCAAAAAACAGGAAGTGGACTACAGTGCAGGGCATTCTGGGTAAATACAACACTACAAGCATCTTGATACAAAGGAAGTTATGCTCTTGATACAAAGGAAATTATACAAAGGAAACAAAAACTTCTTCAGAAGTTTTTGTTGTGTTTCCACCAGTGCTTTTTGGAACAGCACTACCATTAGGTAAATAGGTTTTTCAAAAGATTTGGTTTATTTAACACAGTGTCCAGATAGAGAAGCTGAAAATGTAGCAAATGTTGCGAAATGCTGGAGTTAGACCAAAAGTAGTTACAAGAAAGAATAAAGCCGCACAGCGGCGTCACGCAACCCTTGCAGCCAAGCACCACTCTGGACAGGTTCTATACATGACAACAAACAAGGCTGAATGTATGATACTGCATGTATCAAACACACTATTCAGTTTCTTGAATTAGTAAAGTGCTCCGTTAGCTTTACAAACGTTGCAGGCCTGATGGACTCCGTTAGCATCGTCCTCGGAATAGCAGTTCTAAAGATGGCTGCTCCCAGAACAACCACAAGGAATGAATTACTCACCCCACCGCGGGTTACCAGTTTTTAAACAAAAGGCAATAAAACTGCTCCAACTGCGGTCCGTTCCGGCTCACGAGCGTGGTTCGGGTCTCCAGCTCCAAAACCTAAGCAAAACGTTGAGCACGGTCTGGTTCTGTGTTTCCATAAACCAGGCAAAACCTTCAGGAAAAGTTAACAGCTCCAACTAGTTAGCAAAAAAAAAAAATACAGTCTACAGTGGAACAGGGCTAACCTCGACCATGAATAGCAGCCGCTGCCTGTATGTAGCAGCTTACAGGCACAGCTCCAGTACAGTTCAGTCCATCACAACCAATCAAATTGCTTAAACTTGATTTTGCCCTTGACTGACCAGAAAGGTAGGAACAAGTAAAATTGATGCATTTACTGACGGTAGTAAATAACAATTAACAAAATGCTACTTTTACTGCATGTTTTAAGCCAACAAAAATGACCTGAGGGGTTACATATAACCTCTCAGGTTATATATACCTCTTTCCTATTGGAAATGTCATGGCAGACGCTCTCGCGAAGTTTCCATGCCCATCCGTCCATCAATCTGTTTGTCATTGGTGGAATAACACTGACCGGTAGTAGCAAATTACTGAAATGGTTTCTAAACAGTGACTGCTGATGAATGATGACCTTTCTATTATTTTTAATGAAAATGAACAAATGTTTTTAGTCTAACCCACAAAACAAAATAATAAAAAACAAAACAAAACCGGATAACGTAATGTTAGCAGGGTTAAGGTGATGTTATCAACTGACTATGTAAATGTGATCACCACTGTTCTATAGCCATAAAACAGGATAGGAAGTGTGATGCAGCTGTGATCTTGCATTTGGAAGTTATTGAACCTTGATGTTTCATAGCGAATAGTCAAAGTTAGGTTTAGCTCAACCACACCCACATGCTTTGATGTTGGAGAAATCCTTTGATAAGAGTTTGCTGAGTGATTCTGAAGTCTGTATCTGAAAAACTGTGGGATGAGTTCAATCAGATATGACATTTATAAAAAAGAGAAAATCACATCTTTGATCCAAAATGGCAAACTTCCTGTAGGGTTTAGATCATGGCTCCAAGATACTGACAAGATACACATGTGTACCAAGTTTCGTAACTGTAGGTTAAAGCATGGCTTGTGGCTGATCATTTAGAGTGTTCTAGGGAGCGCTATAGAGAAATTAGGCCATGCCCACCAAATTTTGTCATGGATTCCTGTTGGGTAGTGGATAAGGATCCATTCAAGTGAGTTTGGAGCCGCTCGGCCTGAAACTGTGGAATTGAGAGCCAAACGTATGGCAATGGCGTTACAGGTCACTTTGCCACGCTGCCACGCCCACCTGCTCCATCGAAGCTGATCGGGGTTGGAATCCACAACACACCAACATGTCTTCTGTCTCTGGACACAGTTTTATGTTGATGAGGTCAAAGGGGCAAGATAGCAACCATTCACAGTAAATATGAGACTTCCTGTTCTCAGGGGGCGTGGCTTGAAGATGTCATCATTCGACCATTGGGTATTGTAGGACACCCAATGATCAATCACAGTAACTTTGGTGCCTCTGTGAGTTTTTGTGTAGGATGTATAACAGTTTATTTTTTCATGGTGAGTAGGTGAACTTTGACCCCTGGTATCCCTCCTTTAGCAAGCTCAAAAACTCACCGTTTTGATAACTTTAGATGGGACATGCCTTATGAACAGATTGACCAGGTTTGAAGCCAATCAATCAAAATCCCTAGGAGGAGTTTGATCAAATGCAAAGGTTGTAAACAGCAAAAATGGGCTCAAAATTGGACCTTCAATCCAAAATGTCCAACTTAGACCATGGCTCCAAGAGACTTTTTGTATGTCCTGACAAGATACACATGTATACCACA